TTTAAGCGTTTACGTACACACATACATTGTTGATTCTTACTCTCGAGAATCTTCTACAACTTTGGAGAATAGGCGGGAGTTTCGCAATACATATTTAACATTACAAGCTTTGTATGTTTCTAAATACAAATTTAATCTAAACAAACGTTGATATTAAAATAAATATATAATAACAAATTCGTTACATAGTCTATTAGTTTAAAGTTAGTGAAGCTTTGCATGACACTTCTGAACAAATTAATAAGCCTTAGTTGTTTGTCCTCAGGTGGATGAACGGTTAGCTCGAAGGCCTATAACGCTAAAATCGTTGTCCAATGGCCTACTGTGAAATTTTGCACTTTAAACAAGCAAGTTTTTTGTTGTTTTTTTGTGAGCTCACACCAAAAAATACTCTCTACATTGACAACTCACTCTCCTCTTCCTCTCAAAAGATTACCTCTTTATGAACTTATCGTTTTCGGCAGCATTGTTTGTTTATTTGTTTTTGTTGAATTTCGTGCAAAGTTATGCAAGAGCTATTTATACTAGCCGTCTCTAATTTTGAAGTGATAAGACTAGCAGGAAGGTAGCTACTCTTTATAAACGAAAAGTGGGATTGATCGTCACATTATAACGACTGCGTGGTTGAAAGCACGAGCATATTTAGTGACAAATTGCGAGTCTAGCGCGCTAACCACTAAGCCATGCAACGCCACATTATTATTAAATAATGAAAGTAACACAAATGACACAAAATGTACCTACAGCAAATAATATTTTTAAATCGCATTATCAGAATTTCCGTCCTATCAATGTGACATCATGATCAGATCAAAACTCGTAACTGTACTGAAGTACAATATCATTACCCGATCACTTGGTCGTGGTTACAAGAGTTTTAGTGCATTACTCAGAGTATAAAAAATACTTGAATATCTTTGGATAGTAAACTGATTTTTTAACTAGTAAGTGTATCTAGGTAAGGTTATATACATGAGTTTTATTGACACATTTGGTATATGTTTGGATAGGAATTTGGTATTTTCAACCTGAACGACACTTTATACGACACATGGGAAAAAAGGACAAGTCGAAGATCCATAGGAAGTGTCATTAGTCATCAGCATCTACCACTTATGTGGCCATTCTTAACCAATTTATAGCGCAATTGATTTTCATCTCTATGACATGGCCACAGTGGAAAGCGCGGAGCATATATTGCGGGCTCGTACCCTCGACTTTCTGACCACAATTCCGTGTATGACACTTTCTGGTTGAAAGTGTTTTATAACAGAAGAAAGATCGATATTCAAAACTATCACGAAAAGTACATAAGTGAAAACCGTCTAGCTAGAAAGAATGTTAATAACATAAAATAAGATGAGAATAAACAAGTGTGGGAATTTCTAAAATAAATGCTATAGTTGATATGCAGGAATACGTTTAAATACATTCTTATCATTTAACTGTGATATGCAGGAGTACGTTTAAATACATTCTTGTCATTTAACTGTGATATGCAGGAGTACGTTTAAATACATTCTTATCATTTAACTGTGATATCCAGGAGTACGTTTAAATACATTCTTATCATTTAACTGTGATATCCAGGAGTACGTTTAAATACATTCTTATCATTTAACTGTGATATGCATTGGTTCTCAACGTCCATCTTTGGAAAAACTAGACTGGTTTTTGTTGGGTTTTTTTATCATGGACCAACAGATAACTTAATATGCTCTAAAATAAACAAACAAATTGTACTTAAATAACATAAAAAAAGAAGACTGTAGCTGTTTTGAGAAATGATTCCCTGAAAGCTGGTACGTAAGAAAATCATGAAAAATGTTTTCAGCCTCCACTACAGTAATTCCGTTCATATAAACATGTTTACTCTTCTTTTTTTTTGCATTAGATTATGTAATGACATGAATTAAGTTGAACATTCTCTGTTTAAATGCGTGTTAGCAAGAAGTTTGTTATGGTTATTCACATCAGATGTGATGATATCTTAGTAAAATACTTAACATGTTTCAAATGGACTTGTGACACATTATTATCATCTTTGTGGTTTATAACCTTCTAACCTGGATAAGATGTTTATACCTTTTTATTTTCATATTTCTCTTTGTATAAGGTGAATACCTGATATTTTGTTTGTTTGTTGTTAAGCCCAAAAGTACACAATAAGCTAGCTGTGGTGTGCCCATTACGGGCATCGAAACCCGATTTTTTAGAGTCATAAGCCCTCAGCGTTACCGCTAAGCCACTAGAGGAGGCAGTAACGTACCTAATGAAAATATCAAAGTGGAAATTTTAAAGGTGATAGAAAATTATTACAATTCACTTAGGTTTTCAATCTGAACCTTACAGCTCGTGGGTTGCTCAAGGCACAATTATGTTTAATGTAGTCAGTGTAAGGGACCACCCATTTATTAAATCTTCATCAAGTACTCCCACTGAAATAACGCCTTTTAGCGGAAAATCTGATGCCTTTGACTACCGCTACAACAGGCATCGTCCTCCAATCCACAAACCAGGAAAGTATCAATTGTAGTTAAAAGAAACGTGATGCGTCGGTTGTGCTGTTTGTTTCACTTTTTGAGTTCTAAATTTCTTTGACAATAATACATTAATTTCAGTTCGCACTGTCACTAAGGTAACGTAGTTTTTTATTTCTCATTGTTCACATTTGAGTATTATTATACACCAAAAAACAGTTTTATTGGTAAGTCTGCTACGATATAGATACAAGAGAATTTTGTATAATTCTGACTCATTATATTGATTATAGTTTCTGGTTTTGAATTTCAGTTTCACTGAAAGAGTATACTGATACAAGGTCGTATATACGATAACAAATTCAAAGATTTTTTCCATGTGTGGTTAAGAAAATGTACAGTTTTTATCTTCTAAGTAAACAAACGTTTATCGCTGATAACTTAGATATGTGAAAGATTTATTCTTAGCTCAGTTCTCAAATATTCCATATCGATTCATGGGTACACTGGTATAAAACTAGTGTACTATTATCAACTCCAGCAAAAGACTGTCTTTGTTCCTTATTTCTTTCAACGTTTCGTTTGTACAACTTCTTCACGAGCGACATTCTACTTTATCTGTTTGGCTAGCAATTGAATATAGTTTAAGTCGTACATGAAAAATTTGTAGAGGCGAAACGTTAAGTGAACTAGAATAAAATAAAAACTTGCTCAGAGTTTTGAATTTCTATCTGCGTTAGTCATCCCTAATTTAGCAGTTAACGATTAGAGGGAAGGCAGCTAGTCATCACCACCCACAGCCAACGATTAATGGGATTGACCGTCACATTATAACGCTCCCACGGTTGAAAGGGCGAGCATGTTTGGTTGAACTGAGATTCGAACCTGCGACCTGCAGATTGCGAGTCAAGCCCCCTAACCACCTGGCTATCCCAGGCCTGCTCGAAGTTTATTGTTGTTTCTTCATAGTATAATATGTTTAAGATACTCGAGTCAACCCTTCATAGCGTTAATCTAAAAAGAGTGTGCTATTCGTGAACTTGAGAAAAGTAACCACATACATATTAATATACTTCACGGTGATGTTAGATTAACAACAACAAAAAAAAAAAGGAACCAGTGTTGAGATCCAATATTTCTGAATGTTGTATTATTGTTCTTTTCTTTAGAAACTGTTATATCTAGCTAGAAGGCGTTAGATTTTTAGCCGCGTCATAGCGGCTCATAGAATGGCTCTGAGTTTGTTTTTTTTCAAGTACAAACTTTTATTTCATAGCCCCGTCATCTCTTGACCGATTTGAGATCAAATTACAGTTTTGGACGCAGGAGGTCAAACCCTTTCGATTGATTTATCTGACTTTACTCTAATTCTGCCTAAAAGAATTTCAAGTGCCGCGGCTATTGAGGATTCCCTCTTGTCTTACCTTTAAGAACATTTTGTTCTATACCGTTTGACATATGAGAAACAAAAGTAATGCATATCGGCAAACTGAGTTTGGAAGATAAATTGTTTCTTTCTATATCATAAATATGGATCCTTTTCTCAGAGATTAAAATTGTTTACTAAGATCTATATAGATATTTACTTCAATCAATCACAAGTAAATGCTAGAATTTATAGACGTGATTTAACTGTTAATAAAAAATAAGACAATTCAATGAAATATATGTGGATTTTGTTTACTAACATGAATTAATTCTGTAAAAATTACGTTCGGGAAAATTTGACTTTTTCTGCCTATGATTTTCGAGTGATGTCCAACAAAAACCAAATGGTGAGAAGTAAAGGAAAATGTGAGACAAATCAAGTTACTGGTGAGCTAAATATTTTAAACCGTTACATTTTTACATGTATTAGCTAAGACCATTCTCATAAATGGTTTTATCACCCGGCCTGATGAGCACTGATAGAGGGCGAAAGGCTTCGTCAGCACTGCGTATGGCAGATGTAACGTGTTTGACAGAAAACTTGTATTTGTTTGTAATTAAACACAAAGCTACACAATGGGCTATCTGTGTTGTAAGTCCGCAGACAAACCGCTGTGCCACTGGTGGGGGGGGGACAGAAAACTTGTATATCTCCCGTATTTTCACGCAAATAATCCGCGGGCTATGTGTTAAATTAGTTTTCAAAGATGCCAACTGCGGGGTGTAATGGTGTGCGGGTAATACGGTATTTATTTTTGTTGTTGTTAAGACTGAAATCGCCAATTTTCTATTCCGAGTATTCGTTTATGTTCTTGTTCAACTCGTGTTTTGTGAAGATTTTATTGTGTTGCCATGATGTAAAAGGATTTTAAAAATGTTTCTTGTGTTCCAAAATTTGTCTATGTCGCTGGCTTGCGAGGTATACATGAGTGCGGGTAATACGTGCGGGGTATATCGGGGGGGGGGGATTATTTACGTGAAAATACGGTATATGAAATCCACACCTCGATCAAGAGTAGGTGTAAAGTCAGTATAAAATCACACAATAAGAGCCATTGTAGTGATATAGTGTTTTACTGGTCATTATCACAGATTGGACGGAGCAGGACGTGGATCAAAACATGCCATTCGTTGATGATGATCTCTTCTGGTGTGCTGACGTTGACGGTAGAATGGTGGATTTGTCTTGTTTGGTAAGGTTTTTCTTTATTAAATTATTTCCTAAATAAATACACCGTTTAGAAAAAATCCGTTTTGATTGTATTAAGTTTTGATACCAACACGCATTTTCCTTGAGTAAGTAAATTTTATATAAGTTCCAATTATCTTAGTTTTTGGTTTGATATGTGATCTTGTGTGTGTGTGTGTGACAGAAGAACGTGTATGTATATCCGGTTGATATCGGTTGTATCTTACCTACAATATATTCTCTATTTGCTTTCAACTTACACATGCATTTTTTTTTTATGTCACACTTCGTGAAAAATCTGCCTCGATTCAAATCAAAGATATTTGAGAAAGTTTCCAGCGAAGTAAAGCATCGATTTATCAATTCAAGTATATATTTGTATTGGTATTCTACATTTATGGTAAAGTTATCTATTACTGACCCAAATTTCAAAGTACTTACCAGAGAGAAGGTAGCCAGCCAGCAACACTCTGCCACCCATGCTAAGACGTTGACTGTCACTCTAACATCTCACCCACATTTTAAACTGTAGGGAATATTTTATGGTATCGCATGGATTCGACCACGGCTTGCTATCTCTGTGATCCGGAGCTTTACCACTGGGTCAACCCAGACCCTCAAGTCTGTAAACCAGTTTTCATTGTATGGCAGTATCTGCTACTCCTGGATATATCACTGAATCTATAAAAATGTAAGAGTATGTTTAATACCAATGAGATGTATTCAATTGCAATTAAAACCTGATATCATTGTTATCCTTATAACCTACTTACAATTAAAACCTGGTATCATTGTTATCCTTATAAACTACTTACAATTAAAACCTGATATCATTGTTATCCTTATAACCTACTTACAATTAAAACCTGGTATCATTGTTATCCTTATAAACTACTTACAATTAAAACCTGATATCATTGTTATCCTTATAACCTACTTACAATTAAAACCTGGTATCATTGTTATCCTTATAAACTACTTACAATTAAAACCTGGTATCATTGTTATCTTTATAAACTACTTACAATTAAAACCTGATATCATTGTCATCCTTATAACCTACTTACAATTAAAACCTGATATCATTGTCATCCTTAGAACCTACTTGTAATTTAAACCCGTTATCATTGTCATCTTTCTAACCTACTTGCAATTAAAACCCGGTATCATTGTCATGGTTAATAGCACATTCGATCATCTAAGTCTGATTATACCTTCTTCACTAGATACTAATTACTAACTAATATACATTCTATGTTTCAGCTGGTATCATCTGCTACTATCTTCATGATAACCCCGAGAAGAATATTTTGTGATTTTGCGACCAGTATTAGATCCAGGATTGTTCTGGAGATGAAGGCTGGTCTGTTAACCATTGGTATCTTCTCCAATAGAACTTGAATCAACTAACTTATCTCAGTGCTTTCTAGAAGGACATCAAAATGTTGTTGACTTTTAATTTAGGTTGGCTCAGTATATTCTCTGTTTGGTAGATGTAGAAGACTTCTTTTATCTTTTTTTCTCCTTAAATGTGGTTTATATCCCGTTAATTTTGTGTTTTACACTTTTTGTGTATGACCCACTTCTTTGGCATGCTTGGATATTACAAACAGATCGGTACATGTATTACAAAGTATTATATGTCTATTATGTTCTTAAATTATAACATTTGTTGGTTTTTTGTTTCACCAACATATTGAAAGCCACACTCACAAGATGTTGTAAATGGTGTCGTTGTTTGTTTTTGTTTTTTTTTTCCTATTGGATTTTAAGTGGTGTGATGTGCTATTGCAATCATATTGGGTTGTGGCTTCTGAATACTATTCTAACTTTATGCTATTTGCATAACCTCTGTATGTTTCTGGAGAGACCTTTTAGATAACGAGTATTTTCTTTTTTTTTTCCTTCCTGCTTATCTTTCGTGTTTATAGCCTTTATTTCTTCTTTATCAAATTGTTAAGAGTATCCATTGTCAAGGATAGTGATGTGTTCTTTTTCCCTTTTCTTAGAATCCTCTGTGTTACAGATTTATTTATTCCAGAATGAACAAATTTATAATATTAAAAAAGCATAATAGACATAAAAGACTCGGTAGTAACACCAATATATCTGAAATAGACATTTATGCCAAGGAAGAAGATAATGAAATAATATTGTTTTAACGTGTTCTATCATTGGTGAGTTATTTTGAATTATTCGGAGAAAATAATTCAGTCCAATTAATGATAACGAATTAGTTTATTTCTTTAATAAAGTTCTTAACAGGCTACGTTCACTGGTATGCCTAACTTCAAAAAATGTTTCAACAGAAATTCCGAAACTAATGTTTGCTTAACTAAGAATTAAGCTGAAGTCACTCACTTGCAATATTTCCTCGCTAAGCGATCGATGACAAACAAGCTGGCCGATTCTCTGACTAACTTTCTGATCATTGAATAATTATATTAATGAGTGAATCACTCACAAATAGACGAAATGAATCATGGACTAACTCACACTGTACTAATAAAACACTTTAATTGATTCCGAACCGATTAATTCTCTCTCTCTCTAGTTGGTGTTTTTATATTGTACTCTATTTTACAAACGTTCATTATGCCACAGGAGTTTAAACTTTTATAAAACTTCTAGACTTCATACAATTATTATATCATGTAAAAAACTCCTTCTAGTGAACAAAACATTGAAATATTAAAAACATAGATACAACAATATAAAAACAACAGGATGTGAAAGGCACACGGGAATTAAAGATAAAAGAAGCCTTCTACATCAGTTTAACTGAGAGTACACTCAGTTAACCTAGCACAGAAGTTAGCAACCCGTGTTCCCTTCTAGGAAACATCAAATAGTTGATTCAAGTCCTAACGGAGCCTCTCGACTACTTGATAGCACACCATGATTTGTACCAAGAAGATCCATGATCGAATCCCCCAGGCCACTACTCCTGCAAACAGTCCTTCTCGGTTTTCCCTAAAGACAGCATTTGAAGCATAGAATAACTAGTTAGTAGTTAGTGTAGCCATCCAATTAGTTTTGCGAGAAATTCAAAACAAACACTCATAATTCAAAATAAAAAGTTAAGTTCAATGGTATAATAATTTTACTCGGGACATATAAGAAAAAACTAACTAACTAATTAATAATAACGCTTCGTGATTGTATGGGCTACTGGCCAGCACATTAATTAATATCCGATCTTTGTAAGTATTACATAAAACCTGATATGTTGGACCGTCTTCATTAAGCCATCAGTGCTATTAAACTGCTGTTGTTCTAAGTCATCACAGTATTTTGTGTGCAACAAAGTATTGAAAATATGTTTTATACAGTCTTAATTGACACCAATACCATTTCTTTCGTTTACTCCTGTTCTCCGGTGGAACAGCGGTAAGTCTTCGGATATACAACGTTAAAATCAGAGGTTCGAATCCCCTCGTTGGATACAGCATATAGCCAAATGTTGCTTTGCTATAAGAAAACACACACACTCGTTTATTCCCAAATTATATCAGAAATGTCTAAAATAATACACGTATTCCACCATGCTTGCGATTTCAGTGATGATGAAACATTATTATTAGAGTCTCAATGAAAGATAAAGATTTTTCAGCCAACTATGGCAGCGATAATCCACTCGAGGGAGTAGTGATAACTCCTAGTATTAGAGTTTGACTAAATGTATTCACATACTGTCTGATCTTAAGCAACTACCATGTGAGTAATGTTATAATGTGAAGAAATCGGCTATCGAGAAGTCAAAATTGTCAGGAAACCCTAGAAATAAATGTTGTGTTTTTACTACGGTAATAGAAGATAGAGAAAATGTACCATTTACAATAAAATTCACGTAGAATTAAATTGTGTCTGTGTGTTCAGAATAACTAAATCGTTTCTGAGTTATAATGTAATGAATAATTGTGTAGCTTTGTGCTTTAACAAACAACAGCTATTGTGATGGTACTGCCACCTGTAGATAAGTTAATTTACAGCATTTACTCAATCCAGATTAGTAGGCTAGGATAGTATCATTTACCAAAACTACCAGAAACAAATGTTGGCAACTAAAGATTATCAGCAATTTGGTGGACTATCATTTATTATACCCGCACCACAGTTGAAAGTTTTCGAGATTCATTTTTTCTGTTCCTTATAGGACAGTGGACCAAACGTCATCGTTAAGCGGCAATCTGAAGACCTTCAAGATTTAGCCGACAATGACCTCCAAACTCTGGAATCGAGGTTGGAAGAAGAACAAGAAGATATTTTGCATCATCTTTCTGCACCTGATTTAAATTTAGATCATTTACTTACAAACATTGATATAAAAGCCGAAAGCATTATCAATTCGTGCCTGTATTCAGAGTCTGCATGTGAAATCCCATCGTCCAACGGAAGAAAGAAAATATTGCGAAGTGGTGACGATGGTTTTACTCAAGTAAACTGCTCTTTAGCACCCTCTGAATTTTTAGAAGTGTCTTCGTCAACAGCGATAAATTGTACTGAAGAATTTCAAGTGGCACCCTCTTCTCAACTTATTTCTTCATCCTCCAGTAACACACCCTCTAAACAGAATTATCCATTAAACATAGCAACCAGCCTCTCAACGTCCCAGTCTGAGGTCAAAGCAAGAGAGTGCATTAAAGTATCAGGATGTAATAGTATAAAATACGGTAAGTGTTGAAAGTTTACTGTTATATATATACAATTATTGATACCAGTCATTGTGATAGTCATCCATCCTTTATTAACAACAAGTCTAAATTAACAAATAATTCCTACTTTTTTGTTGTCTCAACAAATTATTCTTCAATTTTTTTTGAAAATATTATTTCTCAATAAACTGTACAAAGGCAGAGCGAATTACTTTCTAATTTCAATTTGATTTGTAATATACTATTTTATAGAGCAAAGCAACATTTGTATAAACTTATTGGCCACACACACATTTATAGAACAGTAAAATGGACTAATAATGTGATCTCCCAGGAAATGTCTATAGCGCAGAAGCATTCATACCATGATTAGCTTACAAATTAATGGGAAGAAGCAAAGAAATATTCAACTTTATGAGAAGCATGATAATATGCACCCTTAGAAAGAGTGTTATTACCAAAAGCCATTTCTTTGACCGGCTGTTTAAATACGTATATGAGTAGTGGTAGCCAAAAGGAAATACGTCTTCTATTGGAAAAAACTGCGACGGCGATTTGCTGCTAATAAATCAAGAGTAAGTAAAAAGACAATTGAAAAGAATAGATTAGCAAGGAATAACATAATTCAGATTATGTTCCAATTGACAACTTTTGTTAACAGTTGTCAGGGTTCTGTTATCTCCAAACAACTATTGTGATGCAAACAGAAATGTTCAGCTTCAATCGTGCTCAAAGTGTAAACTACAGACAAGGAGTGATTGGAAGTATATAATGTAGTCTGAGGATTTATGTTTCATATTCACTATTTCCAGAGGCATCTGGTTCAACTTCTGTTCCGGCAGTGAAAGGCACAGATAGTGATTTAATCATGTGAAGAGCATTCTTTTGAGAAAGACAAATAATATATAAAAAGAGGCTGACCATTGCTGACAATCATGTCTACTCACATTTCTGTGCTAATAGTTGCTTAGCGGTAAACCTGCCGGCTTACGACACTGAATATCGGGTTTCAATATACGTGGTGTGTAGAGCATAGATAGCATATCTTGTATCTCTTGTGCTTAACAGTAACCAAGCAACCAACAATCAATCACTATTCTTCATTTTTCTCTTGTTGATCAAGTGCTTTACCAAGGCGATGATTTAATATTATGTCATGCTCGCATTATTCCATAATGGTTTGAAAAGTATGACGGCGGCTTCAGCCATTTTCCTTGACAGCCACAATCACCTGATTTTAACACAATTCGGTAGTTTGATACATTTGGTATCGAAAAAAAAAAGAAACTGTGAACTCCAATTCAAACTATGCTCCTCAATGGATATGCTTCAATTGAACAAAGATACCATCCTGCATATTGTGAAGGTAATACATCTCAATTCCAAGACTACTGTGGTTGAGAAAAGTGGTCCGACCTGATAATAGACGGGAGTTCTAATAAATTTGCCAGTCAGCTCATAACATGACCATTAGGTTATAGACATACATTTATATGAGAATTTCAAAAATCATGTAATAAAAGCTATTGTAATTTAGTCCAGTTGTTATTGGTTTCTGTGCCTTACAGTTCAATTCTCTTAGCTGCTGTACAAATCTTCAGTAATTCTTTTTTTTGTTTGAAATGCTGCCGTTTTGCTTTTATTAACAAATCGATCAAGTTACCAAATATGTTTATGAAAATATGTTATTTTTGAGTATCTGTTAGGCAGTTAAGTAAGTTAGCTAACTAACAATCACGAATCTGATGACGATTGGATATCTTTAAAATTCAAAAATAACTTTGGTTAGTTTGTGTGCTTAATTTACCAGAACTGGAAACTAAAACAAAATATTTTTAATTGAAATACCTTACATATTTGTGTTATCTAAGAACAAAACTCTAACTAGTTCGTCTTTGGTTACATAAGATTTGTTAATTATTTACAAAAATATATTTTTGTTATATTTTTTATTATTATTTATAAAAGAAAATATTTAAACAAATTATTGATTTGATAATATTCCACATCATTACAATTGTCATAAGATATTTGTATTAAACTTATTATATTTTTTTAACACTCCATTCTTTATATAGTCCCTTAGGGATTTTCAAGAATTAGAAGAACGTATAATAATAGTATTTAAATTACACTATATTCGTCATATCACGTAATTTCAAGAATCGACGACAGAGTTGAATATTGTGCTGCTACCTGTTATTTAAACACTGAACTGATAAATATATATTAATATTCGCTATATGCGGCAAAAAAAAAAGCATTCAATAATGACTCGCAAGGCGTAGTTAAAATCCGCCATGATGAATAATGAGAGATTAAAAATTTTAAATGGTAATGAAAAATAACAACCAAAAGAACAAAACATGAAACATAAAAACTGAAGTACTTAGTATACGATCACACACACTAAAAAAGTAAGAAATTAAGTTCAACATTTACAAAATTGCAAGTAAATTAAAGAGCAAAATTTGACAGCTATCAGGCATCGTGTACTTTTGGGTAGGAGTAAGAGGTTTTTCTTTGTTATTATTCGTAAATTTTAAATGTTCACGTGTCAAATAATTCAAAAAAAGATTGGAATTCAAATCCTACCACCGTCAAATTATGCCACACTCGGTACTTAGTGTTGTTCCAAATAAATGTCAGCCTAATTATGTAAATGGGGAAGCATTTTTGGAGAGATCAATATTTTATCGAAGTATGTATGCCCCACTCTTTACTTTTACTTGAAATTTTAATTGTGTTAGATACTCGTCTTAGGAGGTGTCATGTATTGGAAATTGCAATGAGTATTCCATAACTTTCACATAAAATACACTTACGAAACAAACAATGTTACTCCACAACAAAGTTTTTGATATTTGATCTTGGGGTGAGACCCAAACGTCTGAAAAATACTTCCATGGAAAGATCAATGTATCTGCTTCTCATCTACAAAATAACTTACTTTGTTTGCTTTAAATAGCATAACTTGCCTATTTCATTTAAAAAGAAGCTGATAAATTGCCCCCCCCCAGTGGCACAGCGGCATGTCTGCGGACTTACAATGCTAGAAACCGGGTTTCGATACCCGTGGTGGGTAGAGCACAGATAGCCCATTGTGTCACTTTGTGCATAACTTCAAACAAACAAAATTAAACAAGCTGATAAATATTCAGATGATACGATCTGTAAATAGTTGGAACAAGTGTCTTATTTAATTCGTATGATGTGACCAAGGCAGTAATATGAAAACATCGGAAATATTGCAGGTTTTTTTTCTTTTACAAATGAATATTAATGTTCATGTAACACATGTTTGTTTAGTATTAATAGCACTCCTATAGCATAAGACGTGTTAGTCAAGAACTGACACTCAGTTCTGGGTTTCACAACTGTCTTTATTTGGGATTGTTTAAATTATCATGACAAAACATTGAGGTTAACATGTAAAGTTAAAGTAATATTCATAAGTCCTAGAAATGAAGGACAGCCTCATGGAAAATTAGGGTCTTGAAGAAAAGTGAAACTCAAGTTTAAAGAATACGTATTGGTAAACTGGCTTTACGCATCAAAGAAAACAGACATAGGGACTACAACAATAAAATTCGGACTCTTAAGTGTAAAAAGTCACAAAATATAATGTACAGTTATGCTAGAAACAACAAGGAAAAAAACACGCTTCCAAGAATAGTGTTTACATTTGATAACAGATCTAATACTCCCATACAAACAAACATGGGTACTAAAAATATATACTTTTATATATATTAACTTGAACGCTATAGAGATGTGTAGTGATGGTGTAACTCACATAGCCACATCCATTTCCCAAGTTCAGCTTCAGGTATTTCCCAATACATCAAAAACTATGATAATCTCCTGGGAGAACTGAGGTAAACCTTAAACCGAAAATAAAGATAATGTTTTCTATATAAGGAGGGAGTTTCATTTTTTGTGCCTGTTATAGATACCCACTGAACTGGAATGAATAAAAGCCTCTCTGAATATTTTAGGGGCTTTTACATCAAATTATTGTTCCTAGAAGGAAAATCTCAAAGAATTAACCACTGGTCAGAAAAAAAAAAGACAAATGCTAGATATTATTGAAAAGAGGCTAAACACAGCTCTTCCTTCCCCAAGCTTCACTCCGTCTTCCACGAGTGACGTCAGTTTCTGAAATAAGTATCACAAATAGACCGAGAGGCTGTTAAACCAGAAAAAGCGGGATTAACCATGTAGTCTGCAGCTTTTACCGCGATATTGTTAAGGTCATGTCATTTGGTTCCAATAAGACATTTTTCTTAGCCATCTACAAATTTGTTATTTGAATATTATCCACACTAGCAGAAAGGCTCCCTACGAGCGGCTGTTTGTCTAATCGTAGTATTCATACCACAATGAAAAATATTTATAAAAAGTGAACATTTTCTAAAAAGAAAATGATTTTTTTGGGGAGGGACACTGCATTGGAAAAGTGTTTGGATTGTGCTATTTTAGTCATACGCAACTCATTGCATCAAAATGATTCAAAGTATACAGAGCTCAAAATTTTAATATATTTTACTGATATAAACTGTAATGTTTTATATGTTAAACGTGGTACCGTTTATTGAAAAAATAATAGTTTTAAGAACTCCAGTTTCTCAATACTACATTCAAAAACTTCATTAATAAAGAGATAGTCAAAATCTCATGTACAGTCTTAGTGAAAGTCGTGTTCTTGTTGTGAGGAGAATAATTGTATTTAAAATTGTGTTCCATTATAAAAAAAATGGTTGTTGCACATACCATAGTTATTTATCTAACTGTCTGAATCTTGAATACCCAAAGTGTGAAATTATTTATGGATTTTTGTTTGTGGTGCCATTCAATAGATGGCGAAGGAGGATTAGTTACATACATAGATACTGGCATGCACGCTACGTCCATTATAGATGGCGAAGGAGGATTAGTTACATACATAGATACTGACATGCACGCTACGTCCATTATAGTAAGAATATTTTTTTTAAATATACAAGAGGTAGGTAGGT